CAAACCACGGTAACATCGGCTCTATCGCTATAATATATATGCATTGAATAATTGACATTGTTTTGTAAAATACTATATTTGTATCTCTTCATAAGAAAATAGCTAAAATTGAGGAAATAGTTTGTGTACGGTCTACTTAACATAATATCAATTTCCGCTTCCTGTCAGAGACACCCACACAGTACAATCTAAAAATAATGTGGTTAAAATTTAAAATTTCCTGGTAGCCTAGAAATAACCCTATTTGGAATAACTTAATCCTTTTTAAATTTCCTGTTTAAATTATACCTCATTTCATACCATAGTCTGGTCATGCAATGTAACCAGAAATCTGGTTATATTTCAGTGTTACACACCCGTTTTCCAAATTACACGACATGCCTGAAAATAGTCAATTCAATCTTTTTTTTTCAATCCAATTTGTTTTTTCAACGTGGTTCAAATGTCAGTACGTGTTATGTCACGCGAACTGCTGAAAATAGCACGACTGTAAACACAAAAGATATTTTGAACCGTATTTAAAGAAGAATATTGAATCAAAATAAGCTAGATACACAAACTGAAAGAAACCACAAATTATATAGCATCACAACAGGAATCTGTCTCGTGCAGTGGCGAATCTTGAATAATGCAAATCATTAAAAATTTGCAGAGCATGACCTGTTGCGATGGCTAGCGCCACTGGTCTCGTGAATGACTTTTAAAGTTTCAAAAAGACTGATAAATGTAACTGTATATCAAGGGACTTAGGTAGCGTAGTTGACAGAGCAAGCGCTTTTCAATTCTGAGTTCGTCACGTGGATTCGATTCTTGCTACGGACTCATGTGAAGAGACGGTCAACGCTCTGCCGAAAGTCGTGGCTTTTCTCCGGGTGCTCCGCCGGGTTTCTTCCCACAGGGAAAATTGACAGGGTGGGTTAGGACAAACGCAGTTAAGAAAGTAATATCACAATTGTTGTAAAGATAAAATAGTCTAGGCTAAGTATGTAATTAGGTAAGCGTAATACTTGATGTAAAGCATTTCATCATATCCACAAGTAAATTTTCGCTATAGTATAGAAATTATCGTAATCGTAACTATATGGAACGCGCATGCGCGGTAATATTATGATTTTGTTGTAATAATTTATATCATTAAAATATCTTGAGAATCCTTGTAAACATTTTATATAAATCATACAAAGCATATACATCGACAACGAATCACAAAACTCAAAGTTGTAAATAATTTGAACATTGTGATGTGACATAAAACTGACATATGTCAACTCTACTCTCTAGCAATTTTGAACTCAGGTGTAAAATAACCAGACTATTAAAAAGTATTATATTTGGTTTAAATTGATTTTCTTGGTTATTTTATTTTCCTTTGAACAAATCTAAGAAGGATTTGGGCTGATTTTGCCAACGGCATTCATGAATTTGGGTTAAAATTCGGCTTTGCTTTTGGCCGTCATGTTGGTGTCGTCGAATTTGTGCCGACCAAAATGGCGACCATAAAATGAAATGCTATGTAATAAAAGGGATAGTTTAAGCCAAAATGTTTAGAAATAATTGAAAAGAAGAAATAATTATGTCGAACAATTATGTGAACACTTTTAGTAATGATATACGTAATATATAAAATAAGCAGCGCTGTAGCTTTAATATTAGAATTTCAAAATCTGAACTGAATTAGTAGCATGTTATAGTCTGGAATTTAGTATGTAAGAGTCTGAAATTAAGAGTAAGCTGTTGTCTTCGGATAAGGTAGTAACAAAATGTAGTTACCACGTAAACAATATGGTGCATGTATCCCGTGGTGTGAAACATATTACTCCCAATTGTTTTGTCGAAATGTTTGAACTGCTCAAACGAATGTTGTCAGGGCGCTGTCGGGCATTGAACGGGGTGTGTTTATTATAAGTTTGCGTAAAAAGTAACGAACTCAAATGAACATAATTTTTAATTGACAAATATTGTGCATCAAGAATATATGAACATAAACAATACGGATCTGAAACAACTACAAACTAAACAATTAATCTAATTAAAGTATTATTTAGAAGCAAAAAGGAAGAACTTTGATTTGAGAACATTGAAATGGAAAGCCGTTATTTTCCATACATTGAAATGGAAGACGTTATCAGTTTCCATGTATTGAAATGGAAAGCCGTTATTTTCCATGCATTGAAATGGAAAACATTATTTTCCATGTTTTAAAACTGTTGGCGTTGCTGACAAATTCAGCCTATAAGCAAGCATGCAGTCTGATAGCATTATATAGCAATGCCATGCATTCAGGTAATTTTTCAACATCCCGTCTAATGCCTGACACAACCTTGGTGTGCATGAGGCGGCATGACAACGGCTAGACAACATGCAAAAATTACCTTGACAACATGCAACGCGTGCAAACTCGCTTGAACGTTTCGACGAAATAACTGCATGTTTATGAAATTGCAGTTTATATATATATATATATATATATATATATATATATATATATATATATATATATATATATATATATATATATATATATATATATATATATATAAACTGCAATTTCATAAACATGCATGTACACGTTTTTCTTAAATGACCCAAATATTACATACACCAACAATATATTTGGGTTAGTCGCATTTTTAACCGAAATATTGTTAAATTAAAGACAATTTTTCCAAATATTTTTATTCCTGCAATTAACCACGCCGCGGTCTTTTAGAGTGGTTTCTAGGATACATTATTTTGATAAATAACGATTGTGTGCTATATCGAAAACATAATGGTTGCCATAACATAAATGTGTAAAGCTGAGCAAAATTGTAGGGTCTGCAGAGCCCACACACGCGGCAATTATATCTTCCTGTTTACATGCATGCGGTCAGAATGTCTGTGAAGAGAGACCATAGGGAAGCACCATACTGCTACATAATCGTGGGTTGAATACTTAAAAACTCAAACTCATTAATAATTCCTGAGCAAGTTATGCTATAAAACGACACAAATGTATATACGATAATATGTTGATCATTTTAAATTAAGTGCATTACAAACAAAATAGCATTGATCTTGGCATAGGGGCTGTCCATTTGGGCTGGGCCGGGCCTGGCTACACACGTAAAAACGCGCAAGTTGTTACAGGTCTGCGAACAAGTTGCAACAAGATTGTTGTCAAGCGGATATCAGGATGTGTTCGCACTGCTCGTTCCATGCAGTTGTTGCGACAAGTCTGTTGACAAGTTCTTATCATCTTCGGTCACAGAGTTGATGATGGTAACAGACTTGTTACAAGTTGTTTCAACAAGACCAATACAAGCTGTTCATAACTTCATAACAAGTTGCCACGAGCTTGTTGTCATCAAATTGTTAACAATATGTTACGTGCAGACGATATCAGGCTTGTTGGTGATCAACTAGTCGGAAGTGTGTTGGCCTTGTCATTTATCAACCTTGTTACAAGATGATAACAACTTGTTCCAGAGCTTGCTAGGAATCAAACAAGCAGTGCGAATATATCTTGTTGACAAGCTGTGAGATTTTTACAGAATCAATCTAATTCAACTTTGAAATGTCATTTTGGATGTTTGCCGGAGCTTTATTAAACGAATCATCCGGTTAACCGGGTTAGTCCGGCTCTATAACACCCCCTAAGATACATTTTTGGGATGAGATATTTTATAGGCTGAAATGTAAGCAAGTTAGTGCATGGTGAGCACTCATCATATTATTTGTATATTTACAAGTAATATAGTTCATAAAATCAACCGCTCGGTATAGCAAAACTATCCTATGCGTAGTTCTTCTGCTTTTTGTTGCACGCGCAACAACCCGAACCCCTTAAAACGCCAGGCATGCAGGCTAGTATCAACCTCGTACCCAGGGGATTTTACTTCCGCGGTTGCCCAGCCTAGACCCTAGGCCTCTTAGTACGCCTATTGCGCGTTTCTGCATATTAATGAAGTGACGGCTCACGGAAATCAAAAGCGTGCACAGAGGACTAGGGACTAGTCTGGCGCGGTTGCCAGTGCAGCTCGATCTCTTCCGAAAATTAAGGCTATATCTTAATTGTAAAAAGTGTTCAAATTAAGACATTGCCTTAATAATTTTAAACCTAACCCTAACCCCCACCCTAACCTCTAACCCTAATCTAATCTTAGTCTAACCATAATCCAATCCAAATCTGGCGACCTTTTTTTTAAAGCAATAAGTAATAGCAAGAAGTCTTGCCTAATGATTGTGGTGTTGTTAAATTAAGGCTATGCCTTAAATAAACCATATCCTTAATTTTCAAAAGTTTTACAATTAAGACATAGCCTTAATTTTGAGAAGAGATCATGTTGGCAAGTGACGTGTCATCCTGAATTTTGGGAAAAATTAGCATGTGAATTTTCTATATTATTCAAGACAACTAACAGGAGTACACACATTCAATATGCCACGTATTTTAAGGTGACTCCCCAAAGTTGTAAGAAACAGCAGCGAAAAATAGGCTTCACAATGACGCAAAATATTTGCTATTTATGTGAAATCGGAATTTTAATTTTGATAAGTAGAAACGCTTCCGTAACTCTTTATATTTCAAGCATGATCGTTCGAAAGAAGCAAATTGTGTGTTGCTATGGTAACAATGTGGCCTAAGCGATAGCAGACAAAGATCAAATTTTGAACTAAAAACATAGGCAGCCCAATGTTATGGTTGCCTGCCTGCGCGCGGGCGAAGCATTGTATAGTTGTATTATTTCCTAAGGTAGGCAAATGCAATCAATTAAACTAACGATACATATACCTTCAAACAATCCAAAATACTTCAAATATCTTTACAACTACGCTAAAATATAAATCACGGAAATAAAATCTACGATACTTTTACTATTTTCTAACAATATTTTAACGTTCAAAACAAACTTGTAATGCGAGAAAAATACGAAACGTTTTTGCTTTTTTTTTTCAATTCTTGAATGAGACGATGCTGGATTCGCGCTCGACGTTTTTGATGGCGTTTCAATTAAATGACGAATTTCCAATCTCTTTGGCTGTCATTTTTACGGTTTTTAAAACTGTAAAAGTGACAGCCAATGAGATTAAAACCGTAAAAATGACAGCCAATGAGATTGGAAATTCGTCATTTGAAACGCCATCAAAAACGTCGAGCGCGAATCCAGCATCGTCTCATTCAAGAATTGAAAAAAAATGCAAAAACTTTTCGTATTTTTCTCGCATTACAAATTTGTTTTGTACGTTAAAATATTGTTAGTATATAGTAGAAGTATCGTAGATTTCATTTCCGTGATTATTTTAGCGTAGTTGTAAAGATATTTCAAGTATTTTGGATTGTTTGAAGGTATATGTATCGTTAGTTTGATTCCGTTTGCCTACCTTCCAGATGATCTTGATACGCGGAAAAGTACTGGCACTAGTTGTCAAATAGAAATCCATTTTATGATTAAAACAACTGAATATCTCCTGTAATATACTTTATTTCTATTCCATATTTTTGTAGAGTTCTCATAACCAAACATAATTACAAAATTTCAACTAGTTTCATAAAGAATAACGAAAGATATAATTGACTGAATACATCAACATGGATTTCAATTCGGACAACCCTTTCTGAGCGCTGATTGGCTAAAATACGAACACGAGATCACTTGGTTAGGAAATAATACAACTATACAATGCCTCGCCCGCGCGCAGGCAGGCAACCATAACATTGGCACAGAGTAGACACATACAACTAGTGTACCTAGTATAACTAGTGTTCCCACTTTTTTGTGCGCATGCTCGGCAAGTTACTAGATGCATGCATCTGATTGGATGACGACCTGATGACGACTCACTTTAAACTTGCTGAGCACGCGCAGTTGATCATTTTTCGCCCTGTCGCCTGAAAAAAGGTGGGTACATGATAACGTAATCTTCCGCAGTGTTTACAACGGTCAGTTACGTCTCTGTATGTCTTATCTACTCTGTGACATTGGGCTGCCTATGCTAAAAATTAATTTATTAAAATTTCCTTCGGTCAAAGTTTCTGAAATTTTGTTGGTGTATAGGGAATATCTAGTGGAAGACTATATAAAAAAATTAGGGGGGATGGGAGGTTATAAATTCAGTTTTTGAGATATTACGCGAAATTTCTTCCACACTAAAACGGCTGTTTTATAGAATCTTTCGAAAATTGAGTATATTGCAATAAATGACTAGAATTTTCAAAATTTCAGAAAAATTGACCGAAGGAAAAAAGGTTATTGCATTACATTTGCAAACCTGGAGCGGTCAAATGAAATTTTTGCTGACGTGATAAAATTTCAACTCGACAGTACAAGATCACGTCATTTCATTACCAGAAACACCAACACACACAAAAAGTATCATACCAGTCCCATACTTAAATTAAACAACTGTAGGGGGCCACCGCTTAATCAAAGACATATCAATAACATAAGTTGATTCAGTTAGTCTTCAACTAAGCCAAAGTGAGGTAGCTGCTTTCTGGATGGATGTTTTCACTGCTCACCCGAATTAAGCTAATTAGCATGTAAATATAGAATTTTATATATAGATACATTATTTACAGGAATGAGGTGTTTTAAAAGCGATGGGTAGCGATTTTCTTTTCAAAAAAATGGATAGCATTTTGCTTTCTCTTATGTTTTCTGGCAAAGAGTTCCGTAGGGAGGCACCATCATACATAAAACATTCGAAGTGGCTTCGGTAAACGTATGGTGCTTGAGCTGTCACGAAGATTGTGGTTTAATATCTCCTTTTTGAAAGTAAATAATTCTTTCCCCAAGTATTTTTAAACATTATTTTCGCTTTAGCTTTGAATCTTTGTGTTTTGAGTGTTTCGGCCCATATTAAGTTTATGGATGAATTTTTTCACACTAATAAAGTTCAATCTTGCAGCAATGAAATGACACCGTTCTTTTATCATTGAATTGCTAGTGAAAATTGCCAATCAAACGCAAAATGAAATCTCGTAGCAAATAATAACAAACGCCTCCACAAATGGCGTCATATGTTGTGTCATTGTAGCCTGCTCGCAGCCCGAAATTTCGTTCAAAGGCTATATAACGCTTTTTCTTTCGACGTTAAACCGCTAACCGCAAACCGCGGCTTGTCGTTATGGCCGTCTCGTTTGTTTTATTTTAATTGTTCGTTTGTTTTGTTAAATTCATTTAGTACTCGCGAATACCAATCATATGAAATTACAACACATTACTGATTAACAACACAACAATATAACACATAATGTCAGATTTAGTTTTTGATAGTTTTTCATAATTTTTCCAAGAATTTCATGTCTACGAAATATGGCAGATGTAGTTTTATGTTTTCAAATAATTTTGTAACTGATGGTCGTCAAAAACGAGAAATGGATATCGCAATAACATTGACTACAGGCCGATAACCGCAAACTTCAAATCGGATTTTGAGGTCAACTGGTACTTAAAGCAATTTGTGAATTGAAATACAAGCATGACTGCATGAGTTATCTTCTTGGCTGTCGAGAATTTCTAGAACTTTATACCGGCTTCAAATGCGATTTGAAGTTTGTCGTAACGTCAACAGGCAAACCGCAAACGTCAATCTTAATTAATGGATAAGGCCCATGCAGACCGAGCGCGATTCGGCAACGCAGTTTTTAGAAACAAATAAAACCGTCAACGGATAAAATTTTTTCAAGATATGCAGACCATGCAAATAGCTAAAATTGCTTAAGTGGTTACGAACATTTGAAAAACATAGAAAAATATTTAGCTTTACTGGAACAATTGCTCTCTAGCCGGCTAACTGAGCTATAAAATTAAGACTAGACATGCACAGACGCTTTGCCGATACAAAGATGACCTTTGATATTTTAGTACAAATGATAGCTGTGGGTCTGTGACCTTTGTACCGCACGCAAAATATTCAAATCGATTGTCATATAAATTGGGCAAATTTCAGTTTGTTAGATAAAATGGAGAGCATTACTCATTAAAATTTATAATAGATATAAACACAGTTAAATGTCATTGAAAAGCGACAGCAGAAAAATATAAAATTTTTGACTAAAAATGAATTTATTAACATTTCCTTCGGTCAACGTTTTTGAAATTTTGTTGGTGTAAAGGGCCAATATCTAGTGTAAGATTATATCAAAAAATTAGGGAAGGGGGTTATAAATTCAGTTATTGAGATATTACGCGAAATTTGTTCCACAAAATTAAAAACTGTTTTATAGAATCTTTCGAAAATTGAGTATATTGCAATAAGTGACTATTACTATCAAAATACAAAATTTCAGAAAAATTGACCGAAGGAAAAAGGTTCTTGCATTACAAACCTTGAGCGATCAAATGAAATTTTGGCTGATGTGATAAACTTCAACTCGACAATTAAGATCACGTCATTTCGTTACCAGAAACATCAATACACACAAACTGAAGTATCATGCCAGTCCCATGCTTAAATTAAACAAGTGTAGGGAGCCACCTTAATCAAAGACAAATCAATAACATACTAGTTGATTCAATTAGTCTTCACTAAGCCAAAGTGAGGTACTTTCTGGAAGGATGTATCACTGCTCACCCGAATTAAGCTAATTAGCATGCAAATATAGAATTCTATATACATACATTATATATTTACAGGAATGGCGTGTTTTAAAAGCGATGGGTAGGCGATTTTCTTTTCAAAACTTGATAGCATTTTGCTTTCTCTTATGTTGTCTGGCAAAGAGTTCCATAGAGAGGCACCTTCATACATAAAACTCAAGCCATTCGAAAGTGGCTTTGGTAAACGTATGGTGCTTGAGTTGTCACGAAGATTATGGTTAGTTAAAATTTCCATTTTGAAAGTAAATAATTCTTTAAGACAACTTGGCCCCCAAGTATTTTAAACATCAATTTCGCTTTAGCTTTGATTTTTGAATCTTTGTGTTTTGAATGTTTCCCATATTAAGTTTATATGGATCTAATTTTTTCATATAGCTACTAATAAAGTTCAATCTTGTAGCAATCAAATGATACCGTTCTTTTATCATTGAATTGCGAGTAAAAATTGCCAAATAAACGCATGAAATCTAAAAGGAAATAATAACAAACGCCTCCACAAATGGCGTCATATGTTAACAATATATATTGTCATTGCGGTCGTGGTCAACCGTATATACAGCTAGAGCGCTTAAATGTGCTTGCAACTGAGCTAAATCCACTTGACTCTGTCAACACATCACCTTCGAAACACATCGCGCAAATCAAGCACGCTTGAAATCTGATACGATTTGCTGGAAATGTCAAAGGTACCCTATATATATATATACCCTATATATAGATTTACATCGTTATAGCGCCCCACTTACAAATCAGGGCGAACATGTACATGTCAGATAAAACACACTATTAACATCTTGTAAACTCAAGAATCGAGCTATTTAAACAAGACAACAAAATTAGAAGGTAATATTTCGACTAATAATAATATGATTTGAAGAGTATTGGCAGTAAAATATTATTCAAAACAATGTGTGATGTGAAATAAATAATAATAATAATAAATCATAATAATAGAAATAATAATAATAATAATGGAAAATTTACTCATTCTTTTTCAATATATTTACTTTTGTCTTTTTAATAATTATTGTGCTGTTCGTTGATTAGTTGTCTTTTACAGAAAGCATTAATGAGGAGATTAGTTTCAAATCGGATAGAAAGTTCGAACGTAAATAGATTAGTTTTTATGTGTTATCAAAAGATCATGACGCAATCCATCTCCGGTGAAAACAGATGAGTCATAAGATCGCCAGGAAGGTCAGAAAAATAATTCGCAGAGTTTTGGACATATCACGATAACCTTATTATGCCATGGGAATTGGCCTGGTAGATAAACAAATGGTACCAGCATAAAATATGCTCATGCAGCTGGCTCATGCAAGCTGACTCATGCAGGCTGGCTCGCCTATCCGGGCTGAGTATATTAGGCATGTTTTTAGGCGTCGAATTTCCATCGACTTTCCATAGAACTTTCCTTCGACGTTAAACCGCTAACCGCGTTTTGTTTCGTCAAATTTATCGAGTACTCGTAAATACCAATCATGAAATTACAACACATCACTGATTAACAACAACATAACACATATGTCAGATTTAGTTTTCGATATACTTTGTCACTTTGCCAAGAATTTCACGTCAGTGCTAGAAATATGGCAGATATACGTTTTCAAATAATTTTGTAAGTTTTGATGGTCGTCATTCGTCAAAAACTAGAAATGGAGATCGCAATAAGATTGACGTTTACGGTTTACGACAGGCCGATAACCGCAAACTTCAGATTTTGAGGTCAACCAGTACTTAAAGCAATTTGTGCATTGAAATAGAAGCAAGAGTTATCTTCTTAGCTGTCGAAAATTTCTAAAACTTACCGGCTTCAAATGCGATTTGAAGTTTGTCGTAACGTCAAACAGGCAAACCGCAATAAACGTCAACAAACCGCAAACGTCAATCTTAATTAACGGTTAATCTTGAACGGTTTTTGCAGTGCCAATATTTTGAAAGCTTTGGATTGATAGCGATACAACTACCTGAAAAATACAAGGAGAACTTCGACGTTTCGAGCGAATACCCTTCGTCATAGCCACAGAATAAGGTACACAGAAGGCCGACTTCTTCGTTTTTCCTATGATTTTCCTATGATTTTGGCGTAACCCGTAATTCGTCATCAAATGCTGACGCCATGGTCCTAGCCAGTGCGCGTTTGAGAGGCATTCACCCCCTTGATAATATTCAAAATGGCGGATGTCCAGGGGGGGAATGCCTCTCAAACGCGCACTGGCTAGGACCATGGCGTCAGCATTTTGATGATGAATCATGGCGTGGCAGCGTTACTCGAGTCGACCTTCTGTGTACCTTATTCTGTGTCATAGCCATCTAACTTCCCGATGAAGGGCCTTCGCTCGAAACGTCAGAAGTTCTCCTTGTATTTTTCAGGTAGTTGTTCCCTATATATCAATCCGATGCTTCCCAGTCAAGCGTTTTTGGGAAGAGTTTAAATCGTTCTAAATTTTAGACAGAAAACCAAATGATGTCTTTTTAATATATATTCATTCAGTTATTTCATATGTAAGATTTACACACGTGTATAGGAGTGTTTTATCATATTTAAAATAAAAAAATAAAATATTATTAAAAATTTTAGACATGATAAAACACGACTATATACAAGTGCTTCAAATACTCATTAATAATTCATAACTACTATAAGCTTATTGGCAAATCATGTCAACCATAATATGTCACGTGCAGTGGCTTTAAACCTGATAAAACACGGCTACTATATAATTAGTATTCTTTATTTAAAGAATACTGAATAAGGCAATATCTATTGTAGTCGTGTCCTCATTAGTATTCTTTATATATAAAGAATACTAATAAGGCAGTATTTCTATTGAATTTGTATAGTCGTGTTTGAAGCTGTTTACTTGAAACTCGCAGGTCGTGTTTTATTAATTAGGTCTAAACTCCTAAAGCCACTCGCACTGCACGCTCGTGACTTTAAACCTAATAAAACACTCCTGCTCGTTTATTAAACAGTAATTCAAACACGACTATATAAAGAATACTAGTGAAGACGAGTATATCAGGTACACAGATTTAGTACGTAACTATTATGGTTGACATGATTTGCCAATAAGCTTACGAATTATTGAGTGTTTGAAATGTGTTTAAACCTGTTTAAACGCATGCACGTATGAAAAACATTTTGCAGGAAAGCAGCCTTGATATCGGAAAACCGCAACCGCGCTACTGGCTAGACATGGTCACTTGGTCCTTTCCGGGTTTTGCCATTTGAACGGGAAAAAACCGCATTTAAATGTTGCTAATGATGTGGTATCCTTGCGGTTTACGTTTGATTTGAACTAAAAATATCATAGATTAAAGTTTTGGTATAGTATTAGGGTAGTTTATAAGTAAAATTACTCGATTTGTTTAGTAAAATATCAAATTTACTCACTGATCTTTGAGAAAATACTTACTTTTATACTAAAAAAATGAGTAAATTTACTCAACTGTTTTGAGTCATTGGGAGGTGTGCTTTTTTTCGCTGGCAAGTTTTTGGGTCAATTTTTTTGTTTTGTATATTAATCTATAGACATTTACTATGTACTATTTAAAACACGAGTAGGATTAATTGTTTTATCAGATTTTATCAGCGCAGCCGAGAGTTTTATGTCTGATAAAACACGACAACGAGTGTTTTGAATAACCTAAAATACAACTACAAAAGAATACTAATTAGGATAAATAATTTTATAATAATACTAATTAGGATGAACAATTATATATAAAGAATACTAATGAAGTTGAGTTTTATCAAATACAAAGTCACTCCACGTGACATATAGACCCATTGCACTGACGTCACAAATTCTTAGAGTGTCCTCCAGATGCTCCCTAACAATATCTGTTCGGGTACAACAACTGATATACAGCGCAAAAATTAACCACTTTAATACAAAATTATTATAAAGTTTTAGAAAATTTGCTTTGTTTACAAAAGTTATATTATGCATGGCTTGCTAATTTGTCCTCCAGATGCATCGTCACCGGCGCTATGACGTCATGTGTAATGGGTCTATTATGGCTGACATGATTCCCCACAAGGTTTATGAACTAGTATAACAAAAAGTTAGTGAAATTGCTGCCGTACGTGTATTCGCGTTGCGAACTTGCGAAAAAGTTAGTGCTTTGATTACCTTATGTTTGACATGGAGGCCTGGTTACCAATCGCATCTCAACGTCAGTGTTACAGGACCGTAATTCGTCATCAAAATGACGGTGGTGGCACAGCCCTGGGCGTCAGCATTTTGATGACGAATCATATGGCAGCATCATGTGGCAGCTGCAATGCATTGCAGGTAATCCACAACCAAATTTGTCAATTGTCTTGAATATAGTACTAATATAGTGGTGGGTTGTAGGAGGTATTTGAGTAGTTGTAATGAAATAACTTGCAATACTCTACCAATAAAAAGTTATATACCGTAAACCTCCGACTATATGCCCCCCGAATATAAGCCTCGCCCCCTGAATATAGCCTCCCCCGAATATAAGACCACCAAATATAAGTGCCCCGAATATAAGCCCAGTAGCCCACTACGTTATTCAACATTGACATTGTCTTTTAAAGGGGCCCTACAGTCATTTTTTAGTCGAAAAGCCACCTTAAGTATTGTTTACATTTTTTGTTATTGTTACTACTTGACATACGCATCACAGCATGCATGCGCCTTTCAGTGTGGGGAAGTACTCATACTCATGGATACTGCATGTAGTCCCCTACTAAAGGTGGCTTTTCAACTAAAAAATGACTGTAGGGCAGAGAACGATATTTAAAAACATGGTCATTGTCTTTATAGCCAACTGTGTTAATCAAAGCACCTTATTAATACATGTTTATTTTTCTGTTTATGACTGACTTGTTTATGGCTGACTTGTTTAATACTAACACAAAAGATCGTCCATGTATTAGCCCCCGTATATAATCCCCCCCCCCTCTCCCCCCTTGTATAAACCCGTCAAAAATTGCTTACAAAAGTATATAAGCCCAGGGCTTATAGTCAGATGTTTACGGTATTTGGCTAGGTGATTGGCAGCTGACGGGTTATTACCCATTCTAATAACAGGTTTAACTACTGACATGTAATTTTAACAGATTGTTTGGCCAAGTAAAACAGTGAATGCAATGTTTTAAAGTTAATATCTCGTTTATTTCAAATGTCAATTTTAAAAACTCAAACCGTGTGGACAAACCAAATATTGTAAACAAACCAAATACCGTAAACCTCCAATTATAAGCCCTGGACTTATATAAGTTAGTAAGCGTTTGTTGATGGGCTGATACATAGTGGGGAGGGAGGTTATATACAGGTGCTCATATCAACATATTTATATTATCGAGAAAAGGACGTCTGATGCCTGATAGATCATTGCTTCTCACACTATAACTATTAAAATGTGCACCAATTCAGGCACGATATTGCTCAATTGTTACCCCCATTTAACCAAATGCAATATATATCACTGCAACTTGATCTATCAGCAGCAGTAATAGAGGTCTGTAAAATTTGCAGTTTTATATATGATATGCTGTAGCTCTGAGTCACGTGATACCTTCGTACAATGGCTCTCGTTTGTTTTTTTACACAATGGCTCTCGTTTGTTTTTTTACACAATGGCTCTCGTTTGTTTAGAACACAATCTTGTTTGTTTCCGTTTGTTTGTTTAGAATTGATGTAAATTTTATTTGAGTTGCCCGTTGCCACACCGTGACCAACACGCAAAGTGTCTGATCAATATATTGATCAGCGACAGCTTGAACAGTGAATGAACACAATGATTCCCAACACCAAATATGCACTGTCAGGTTTATAAAATCAAACACAAGCCTACATAAATAGAAGAACAAATCGTCAAATCTTCTGAAAATTCTTCGTAAACTAAAAGGATCACAGATAATGCTTTGATCTTACCTTAAATAAATGACTTTACAAGAAGACGTAATTCTTAAAAATCGCAAATTATCTGCTAAATACTTGCCAACTTGTAAGTTTCGCCCTCGTGCTAAATCTTGGCAAGTCCCGAAGAGCAGCCGGTAGCTTCCGTAAAAACCCGTCGAATCTTCTACGTCACAAAACGTCATAAAACTGAACATCCAAACATTGCTAAATCCAAATCATTGTCGCATTCATATAACTCGGTAAAGAGGTCTGGGAACAAATCACAAGAATAGGAAGCTGCCTGCGGCAGCAATTATTAATGAGTATTTTAATTATATTTAAAATACTCATTAATAATTCATAAACCTTGTGGCGAATCATGTCGGCCATAATATGTCACGTGGAGTGACTTTATATAGTGATAAAGCATGAGGCATTATATAATTGTTCATCCTAATTAGTATGATTATACAGGGTGTATCAAAAATCGAACTTCAGCCGTTCAGCGCGCTATTGTATCTGAATTACTGTGCATATGAACGAGATTTTTCAGATTCGGAAAGATCATGCTTTTAATGATATCTTCTTCATGCCAAATGGATAAAAAATGAGCAAATACGAATCCGATAAAAAATGTTAGTCAGAATCGCATATTTTCACCGTTGAGAGTTGGGTCTAAAACCATTGAAAATGAACCCCTTTGGTACTGAAGTTGATGAATTTCACTTCATTAAACTACGCACATATTCATAATTATTATTAAGTAGGAATAAATCTTAGCTAAGCTACGACACGTTCGTGATTAATTGCTTTTTCTTTTGTTATGCATTGTTTTAATTAGGCACGGAGGTGAAAATATGCGATTTTGACTAACATTTTTTATCGGCCTCGTACATGCTTGTTTTTTCTCCACTTGGTATGAAAAGCATGTCATACAATAGCTAAAAGCCTGATCTTTCCAAATATGAAAACCAATTGTTCATACGCCGAGCGATTCACGTATAATAGCGCGCTAAAGTTCGATTACCTTTTTTTTGATACACCCTGTATAATGGTTCATCCTAATTAGTATTCTTTTTTTTTTCTTTTTTTTTTATTTATTTTTGCCCAATTTTCCAAAGTACAATAAAATTTAACTATTTACATTTTTATAATCTATACGTAGGGCTAGAGATCTTTTAGAAACCCTTTTGGGCTTTTATTTTAAGACCCCTAGTTATAACAAAACTTTTATTACTTAGTATAATTTCATGATGTCATAAAAATAGTACATAATATAATAACGAAAATATATACAATTGTGAGAGTGTTTAAAGGAAAGTTAGTCTGTGGTCGTATTTTAAGCTATTCAAAATACTCGTTGTCGTGTTTTATCAGACATAAAACGCTCGGCTGCGCCTCGCGTTTTATATCTGATAAAACACTCCTACTCGTGTTTTAAATAGTACTTATGCCGTATTTAACAAGGTATAGGCACAGTATTATTAAAAAAATGGACATGGCCAGAAATCACGGACATGATTTATCCTATTAAACCATGATACAATATTTAACACGCCTATAGCCATTGGGCCACCCACGATTTTAAGGTATTCATTACGTGTGGCTTTGTTCCAGGTTAGGAAAATGCCGAATTTTTAAACTAAGGCGTTGTCAAGAGAAGGCGAGGACGCGTGGGATAGAGTTTTACTTGAAGAATACTTGGGTGTCAAGAGGCATATTATGAGATCAGGATGGAATTATGTTCATACAGGTCCTTCAAATATAGTGTCGTCACATGCACTCCCCCAACGATTACAAACCCTCTCATTTAAACTTCCAGAAGACAGAAATTCTTTGACATTTCTTTCCAATATCAAAAAGCATGAAGTCCTTCAAAAATTTAGTCCAGCAAAAAGTTGACTTTCATCCAATTCAACTTCAAGAGTTATTATTCAAATACAAAATTATTTATTCAAAATTTCACTGCGAGTATATATACCGGCATACAAATTGGCTTTGCGCCCAAATAACATTCATTTGCATGAAATACCTTGAGAGTCCAGCGACCAGCGTAGGTAGTAGAGAGTCAGTTGAGCAAGACAACGAAGTACGAAGGCATACTTGACAATTTTTGCCGTCTGCACATTATCTTGCGCATACTGAGTTGGACGTCACTGGTGATTGCCCTTAATTCTTGTCCTTTTCCAGAAAAAAACAGCGAGACATCAAACTATATCCCGTCTTTGTCCTTCCGCCTTCGTGCAGAACGAAGTTCACAACAAATTTTGCCAAAATATTCGTTGTGAACGAAGGCAGAAGGGCGAGGTTGGGATATGGATTCATGTCTCGCTGTTTTATCCTGATCGGGGTAAGGATTTGAGTCAGCATTCACAAACAGCTAGACATGAATCTCTAACCTGTCTTCACTCCTGACCCTAAACTCAGAATGCGCAACACAATGTGCAAGACAGGCAAAAATTCAGTGTCAACCACGTCGTCGTCGTCCAACTTCGTTCTCTTGCTCAAACTCTCTAGTATTCTATACAAAGCTGCCTTGGCTTGTGTCTGAATTACCTGAAAACAGTATCTCAAGCGTGGGGGTCCAGTGTAGGTAGTATTCTGTAATAAGCTGCCGTGGTTTGTCTCTCAGGAACTACCTGAAAAAGTATGTCAAAGGTGTAGGGTTCAATGTCAAGATAGAATCCTTTACCGGGGTAAGGATAAAACGCGGATGGCGGACGGACGGACGGATGGCGGACGGACGGACGGATGGCGGACGGACGGACGGACGGACGGGGGGGACAAGCGGATGGACGGGGGGGGGATCAAATCCGCGTTTTTTAGGAAATGTAATTAAGACTATTATTAATCGTAATAAATTGTCGAAAAAATGATAAAATATTAAATTGTGGAAATGCGGGGTTTTTCGAACCTTTGTAACGCTGAAAATTCTAATTAAATACGTTAGACATCTGCTTAAACTCGGGTCCAATTTCATTTGCGCAAATATCGCGTAATCGAGTGAGTATTTGAACGCGATAAAACAACTCGTACGAAGAAATATTAATACATAAGGTTTACTAACGTACTTGCCAATGTCGTATTTTAACAAATGTCCAACTGTTTCGTCGGATGTAATCGAGGCGCATTCTTTCTCAATCTGATTAAATTATAAATGTAAACAATACTAAAGTTGAGATATTTCAATACTCCGCGTTTTATCCAAAAGGGTATCCAAAAGGATAAAACGCGGATATGGTTCAAAAAACGTTTTTCAGCCTTTTTTAAGCCATATCCGCGCGTTTTATCCAAAGAGGGCATATCGATATGTATAAAGAATATTGAATATTGTCCTAGAATTTGAACAAATAAAAACCAATAATATGTCTCTTCGCTTAAATACTTACTGCGAGATAAGAGTTCTAAAATTACAATTTAGTGTTAATAAAGTTTTAATTCAGTGTCAGTTATCTGGTATAGTACTCCAATTTTATGCCAACGTAATGTGCTGCTTTTCAAAGGCTTTGATGTCAATGCAGTTATCGGTTTAAATATACCTAAAATTCCCGTTAAGATATGACAATTGCCGTACGGCCTACTTTTACGCGAACGCAAATTACAACTGCAACTTTCATGCTTAATTTTCTCTGTTATCTAGGCATGTAGTAATGTAATTTTATGCCAATGCAATGTGCTATTTTTCAAGGGCTTTTCAGTGCAGTTATCGGTTTAAATATACCTCAAATTTCCGTTAAGATATGACAATTGCCGTACGGCCTACTTTTACGCGAACGCAAATTGACAACTGCAACTTTCATGCTTAATTTCTTCTGTTATCTGGGCATGTAGCAATGTAATTTTATGCCAATGTAAGGTGCTATTTTGCTAGGGCTTTTCAATGCTGTTTTCGTTTTAAATATACCTCAAATTCCCGTTAAGATATGGCAATTGCCTTACGGCCTACTTTTACGCGAACGCAAATTACAACTGCAACTTTCATGCTTAATTTTCTCTGTTATCTGGGCATGTAGTAATGTAATTTTATGCCAAAGCAACGTGCTATTTTTCAAGGGCTTTTCAATGCAGTTATCGGTTTAAATATACCTCAAATTCCTGTTAAGATACTGCAATTGCCGTACGGCCTACTTTTACGCAAACGCGAATTACAATTGCCACTTTCATGCTTATTTTTCTGTTATCCGGTCGTGTACTTTATGCCACTTTGGCAACACGGCCGGATAACAGAGAAAATTAACTCTCTTTCGTTTGGCGCCGAAATATAAACCAGGTTGAAACCGACCTTGTATTTTGCAGGTTCTTATCTTCGGTTCAGTGCATGTTATGTAGCAAATCCAATTGGAGCAAAGTCAAATTGAACATGTTCAAGGATTAAAGCATACTGGTCGACACAAATTCCCTTGAATTGAACTACGTTCACATGATGTAGTTTTGAAAGAAGCCTCGCTTCTTTGACTAACGATTCGGTCTCCCCTCAGTCATGGCTGGAGTCTACCAGCTTCTTGACAACGAATGTTCTATCGTTCTCGGGCAACTTTGTTGTAAAGACAGTTGTTCGGTAATTTAAAGAGAATCGTATTTCCGCCTCATGCCATGATTATTGCAAAATTGTAATTTTAGAACTCTTATCTCGCAGTTGCAATTTGCGTTTGCGTAAAAGTAGCCCATACGGCAATTGTCATATCTTAACGATAATTTTAGGTATATTTAAATCGATAACTGCATTGAAAAGCCCTTGAAAAATAGCATCTTAAATTGGCATAAAATTACATTACTACATGCCCAGATAACAGAGAAAATTAAGCATGAAAGTTGCAGTTGTCAATTTGCGTTTGCGTAAAAGTAGTACGGCAATTGTCATATCTTAACGAGAATTTTAGGTATATTTAAATCGATAACTGCATTGAAAAGCCCTTGAAAAATAGCACCTTACATTGGCATAAAATTACATTACTACATGCCCAGATAACAGAAGAAATTAAGCATGAAAGTTGCAGTTGTAATTTGCGTTCGCGTAAAAGTAGGCCGTACGGCAATTGTCATATCTTAACGGCAATTTAAGGTATATTTAAACCGATAACTGTACTGAAAAGCACTAGCCGGCAAAACAGCACCTTACATTGCCATGAAATTACATTACTACATGCCCAGATAACAGAAGAAATTAAGCATGAAAGTTGCAGTTGTAATTTGCGTTCGCGTAAAAGTAGGCCGTACGGCAATTGTCATATCTTAACGGCAATTTAACACTGTTATTTTCAGGGAGTTAAAATAACTCCGGAAAAGGGGGTTAGCAAAAAAGGTTCAAAATAATCCGTTTTTTGGGGTTACAAATAACTCCATTTCTGGGGTTAAAATGTAACTCCACTTTTGGGGGTTAATCTAACTCTCATATTGGAGTTAAAATCTAACCCCTATACAGGGGTTACATAATTTTAACTCCGTTTCAGGAGTTAAACCGGTACTCTTGAAGACGTTTCCTAATCTTTTTAATTATTTTTAAACATTTTTAATGTTATGAAAACCAAAACAATGAAAAAACATCACTTAGTTTTCATAACATTAAAAATTGCGTAGAAATAATTTAAAAATGAGGGAAAATCTTCCGAGAGCGTTAGTTTACGGAACGCTTTCTAACTACTTAATGCAACTTACCTCGTAAAACGGGGAAGTATCGAGAAACCTACCAAAGAGTCTAATTATACTAAGTCAATTGCTTCATCTAATCCAAAAAGTACGCGAGAAAGTTTTCTGTGAAATATATTTTATACAAACTAGCCATGTATTTCTAGAATTAAAGTTCTACAACTTGATTTCAAACCATGCATCATTGACACATTAAGTTACTGTCAAATTTAAATGTTCACAACTGAATTCATATACATTTGTTAAAGACAACAAGTACTATCATAATGGTAAAACTTCAGTAAATGTGTTTACAGTACAGTACAGTACAGTACAGTACAGTACAGTACAGTACAGTACAGTACAGTACAGTACAGTACAGTACAGTACAGTACAGTACAGTACAGTACAGTACAGTACAGTACAGTACAGTACAGTACAGTACAGTACAGTACAGTATGACAGAACACAATTAATATCAAAAGTATGGAACCAACCCGTACAATATAGAATGACATACAGTATGTACTATACACTACAGTAATGTACTGCACAGGGCATATAATATTGCTGGGCCATGCTTTACTGTGTGGAATGTTGTACATACTGTTCTGTGGTGCCATACATGCTATATTGGGGTCTTGTAGATGGAAATTATCAAGTGGAAATTTATACACATTTATTAGACCTAACCAGGAACAGCTGCAAAAAATGCAACTATATAGGTCCCTGGCAGGAATATATAATTATATATACCTACAGTACCATTCTGTATTTTTCATATGTGTTGTGGACGTGGTGTTATATGCTTAGCCGACGGTGCTTCTATCTGCTATATGTAGTGCTTTTCTGTCTTGAGCGGTGTGGTATATTCCATTCAATTATGTCCAATATATTATCAGTGGCGGCGCCAGGCTTCCAAATTTGGGGGGGGGCATTTGAGGGGCAAACTCAAATTTTGGGGGGCAAGATAGAATTTTTAAAAAGGTCGCCCCCCCCAGGGAAATTCACCCCCTCCCCCTCAAAACGTGGCGATATTCCTAGGAATATCGCCCCCGGGGGCGAATATCCTAGGAATATCGCCTCCCAGGGGGGTGGAGCCCCTAGGAATATCGGCCCTCTTTAGGACATTTGCCCCCCATATATGCGATGTGGTTTATTCAAATAATATCGACCCCGGGGCGAATATCCTAGGAATTTCGCCTCCCAGGGGGGTGGGGCGAATGCCCTAGGAATATCGGCCCTCTTTAGGTCATTCGCCCCCCATATATGCCCTAGGAATATCGGCCCTCTTTAGGACATTCGCCCCCCATATATGCGATGTGGTTTATTCAAATAATTTCGTGATACTTTC